ACATGACGAAGTTCTTCATCGCATAACCTTTTTTGAGTAGCTTAAACATGCTTGGTTAATACTATTTTTGAATTGCTTAAGGTTTCTATAACTAGGAAAAACTTCCACAGTCAGATGGTTCCATAATGTCGACACCTTTGGGGCAAAGGAATGGTCGTACTGGCCAGTTCTGTATGTACGACACACATGTTTCATACCTTGATATACTTTTTCAAATTATTGGAATGTGTCACAGTGGCAGAGACGGAAATCCTATCAAACGCAGCGAACACGTTTTTTGACAGGCTTTGTCTTTGGCGAGAATGTATACAGAGAACTCCCGTAGAACTAAACGTTCCAAAAGGGTCTTGCAAGAAGATTGCTGGCATTTTTTCGTCTTTCCTCACGATAAAGACTATAAAAAGACTTTATCAAGAAACAATAATTCAGACAAAGTCTTGAACGAGAGTCAGTATATCTCGATTATATAAATCTTTTTGCCATTGTTATTGATGTGTTTGCCACGAAAGTTTTCAAGGGAAAGTTTGCTTGACTGCTGGGGACTGAAAACCTATTTATTGCTTTGCAAGTAGTTTGAAAACATCGTTAAATCCAAGAGTGGATTTTCGAAGGAAAATATTTTTCAAACTTCCGTGTACTCCGGAGCTTTTTGCGGGAAAATAAGTACGTAGTTTGAGTCGATAATGGTATTTTTATCACTTCGATTGAGATGCGCTAATTTGCAACAAAGTTTTGCATATAAAGTTGTTTTTGATATTCTTTGATGGTGGCGTTTGAAAATACATTATACAGGGTGGTCCATAATTCCTTTGAAATTTCAAATTTGAATAAAATTTAATGGGTGAGCGTGAGCGGCGCGGGCGAGGTGGGGGCAGTATCTTCAGTATCTGGGAATTCAGTCGCCATGGAATGTTTCACTGGAGCGGATCGTGCTTTTTGTGTGCGCGCGTTTTATCAAAATAATCATTCGGCAACCATTGCGCGGCGTAAATATCGAGAATACCACAATTTACACAATTTTACAAAGTGTCCAACAGCTCAAACGATTAAGAACTGGGTTGCTAAGTTCGAAGAGACTGGTTCGACATTAGATAAACAGCGGTGGGGTCGACCAAGGACAACTCGTATTGAAGAAAACATCAACATTGTGGCACAGTCTGTTCGTCAAAATCCTACCCAGTCTACTCGTAAGCGTTCCAGTGCACTAAACGTACCCAGAACATCTTTACAGCGGATTTTAAGGAAAGATTTACGTCTGCACGCTTACAAAATTCAGTTAGTGCAGGAATTAAAAGATAAAGACGCTATTCAGAGACTAAACTTTGCGAATGAAATGTTGAATCGATTTTCTTCGCTCAATAATGTGTTGTTCTCGGACGTGGCTCACTTCCATTTAAACGGGCATGTAAATAAACAAAATTGCCGTTATTGGAGCCCCGAAAATCCAAGGCGTAAGCATCAGAAGCCCTTACACAGCCCTAAAGTTACAGTTTGGGCTGCTATGTCAGCGCATGGCATCGTAGGCCCTTATTTTTTTGAGGACGACAGAGGTCGCGCATTAACTGTTACTTCGGAGCGGTATGTAGCAATGATAGAAGAGTTTTTGACACCAGCGTTGCAGAATTTTCCAGGCTATAATACGCAGACCTGGTTTCAACAGGACGGAGCAACTGCCCACACCTCCAACACTTCTATGCCCGTCGTCTGTCAACTTTTTCCCAGCAAAGTAATTTCTCGAAGAGGAGACATTTCCTGGCCACCACGTAGTCCAGATTTAACCCCAATGGACTTCTTTTTATGGGACTACCTCAAGAGTAAAGTGTACGACACCACTCCGCGATCAGTTGATGTCCTGAAAGAAAATATCCGAAGAGAAATGGCAAGCATTACAGTGTTGACTTGCCGCGCAGTCATCGACAATTTTAGACGTCGTTTATATGAGTGCCGTAATCGTAATGGATTGCATTTAGACGATGTGATTTTTAAAACATAATTCCCATTCAATAAAGATGATAACAAAATATAATAATTCTTCATAATGTAACTAGTTTGGTTTTATTCCTTTTTTTCCAGCTCAAAGGACTTATGGGCCGCCCTGTATAACCGTAAATTATATTTAATATTTTTTATGATAGAGTGTACACGGGATACTTTACGATGTTTCTGAGATTCAGATACTTGGAAATATTATCCATAATTCCTTTTTGAAAGGATTGCTGGATAATGATGTAGAAAACCCATATCATGTCAAAAAAACTAAAAAATGTCAACTTGCTGACTAGATAGCTGCTAGTAGCAAGATCGCATCTGGATGATTGTGTCTATTGGTCTGCATGTGTATAAAATCTGTGATATATGTGAACAAATTATTACTGAATATGTTGTCCATGAAGTTTCTCTATTAGCTGTGCCAGACGGGTTATTTATCTGTTGTCATTTCCTAGGAGAGGTTATGTTCAAAGTTATAACTAGATATATCTAATTTTAAAAATTATATTCACTTACCTACATAATGTCACAAAAAACCTATATCATGTAAAATCAGATGGACATAATGAGCCGTATTCATAAAAGAGAAGCATATCATCGGAAGCATAAGGTAAAAGTATAAGGTCTTGCTTCGGAGAAAAAGGTAGAAGTATAAGCATATCCTTGTTTTCATATTCATAATGATTACCTTATACTCGCGAGGATATCATCCAAGAAGAAGTAAAAGGTTGACTGGTAAACCGGTTAACCATTAGATACTAAAGGCTTTTTAAAAAAAATCAACAACATGAAATCAAGATTGAAGAAGAAACAGATCTAAAAAAAACTGGTGATAAAGCAATTAAATTGTTAGATTGGGAAAGAAAGTTGCTGAAGGCTATGGAAGGTGACTGTAATCCTACAATTGGGAAAATTAGAGGAACTGAGGAAACCAAAGGGTTAACTACAAAAGAACTGCAACGTGTAGTGCTATTACAGCAGTACCAAACAAGTGTTTTACAACAAGAGTATTATAAAACGAAATTAGAAAGGATGCAGCGTCAGAAGCCACCTGTAACTTATGATGTTCACGAAAATAAAACTTATTAAAACTTATAAATACACTTTAATCAGTAAAACTATTTATTATAATATTCAAGTTTCTTCTTATTTGTTGACCTAGTTGGCGGAGAGGAAGTTCGTCATTCTCATGATTTCCTTCATCTTCATCTGGGTCTTGTTCAATTAACTCAAAGTCAGGATCGCCCAAGCTCTTCGCAACATTATGGAGTACAATACAAGCAATAATTATTTTCGGCACATTTTCCAACTTTACACGGCAAACATACTGTAGGATAGGAAACCGGCGTTTCAGTTGGCCGAAACAGCGTTCAATTATAACTCGTTCTTGTTTTAAAAGCTTATTATAATTTATTTCTGTGCCTGGAGTAGGATTTCTGAAGGGAGTCGTAAGGCATGTCTCAATACCATAACCGTCATCGCCAAGTAGTACATTTGCTTTATTTATTAGTTGTGATCTAGTCTGTGAATTTCTCCATATTCTGGAATCATGCACTGATCCAGGCCAACTACCATCAACACTTGTGAACATCTATCTGGCATCACAAGTGGCTTGCACATTTAAAGTGGGTTTCCCTTTTCGGTTGAGATACTCATCTCCATGGCGATTTGGTTTCAGGATTCCTATATGTGTACAATCAATTACACCAATTGCTGTCGGAAATTTATACATGCTTTGTCATATCCGTTTGGCCTCCATGGTAGTTGGAAACTTGATCCATTCGTTCGACTGTGCAACTATGCTGTTCACAACTCTTTCCACAGTCCGAGATACCGTTGCTTGACTAACACCAAGTTCCTGACCAATACCTTGTTGATATCCAGGGTCACCGAGATAGCGTAGACATATCTTCATTTTATGAATACATGAAAGTGCTCCTCCTCGAGTTTCCCCATCCTCAACTAAAAATCTGTCCGCAAGCCATTGTACATAATATACTTCGTCGAATCGATATAATTTTTTGAAGTCACGACCAACTGAAGGTAAACAAGGTTTGTACGTTTTAACATCCCTAACATCCACAATTTCCTCCATCATCGGTTGACCACCTTTCGTTACGAAGTTGAGTCTGCTACTGACCATACTCAGAATTTTTGAACGATATGCTTCCTATGCCAAGTATAAAGGTGCATTTAAATTAGTGCGAACACAAGCGAACGAACGAATTCGTTCGCTTACGCTCGCCCAATTTAAATGGCGAACCGAAGAAGACCGAACGATTTCGTTCGTGTTCGGACATGTTCCAGCGCGTGTCGGTAAACTAGCGAATCATCAAAGGATGTTCGCGCTCAATGTAAACGACGTTTCTTGTACTTGCGAACACACGCGAATAAATTCGGCCTACTAAACGTGTACTGTTTAACTACTTTGTGTGTGGTTACGTCTTGCAAAACATGGAATGGACAAATGATAAAACTTTACAACTCATTGAGTTATATAGAACCAAAGAATGTTTGTGGAATCCAAAATCATCATTTTACAAACTTCTAAATAAGAAAAATGATACATGGCAAGGAATAGCGACAGAAATGAATTGCACCACCATAGAAGTGAAAAAGAAAATATGCTCTCTGCTTGCCTCATTTCGAAGAGAGAGACAAAAGGAAAGTACAACCAAAACATCAGGAAGTGGAGCTGGATAACAGTACTACTCAACATGGTTTGCATTTAAGTCTCTGGATTTTTTGAGAGATAAATTTACACCAAAATCTATATTAAATACCGAGGAGGTGAGTGAAATAATACGCATATTCAGATTTTAGTAACGTTTTTATGCTTAAATACATATTTATGAGTAATTTGTTTGCCATGAAGATTGTCCGGATGTTACAAAATACTCCATAAACTCGTGCCTAACTTTTTCCGCATTTGCTGAAGATTTTCGAGGTATATTTTTTAATGGAATTAATGATGTTGCTTTTTCGTTTTCTCTGCAGTTGCCGTTATTTACCCGCGTATTAGGTTCGATATCAAAACTTCCTGTTGGAGTGTATATATTTCGCGATGTTTTGCTCCTTCTCAAAAAATTGTGTAGGTATACACAACTTAAAACCACCAATGCCGCGTTGTCTTCTTTCAAAAGTATCGGTTTTCTGAGAACTCTAAAGACAGAAGAGAGGATGCCAAATGCATTTTCCATGTTTTCTGTCCTTCCAGGTAAAATAGATTCTTCCGGTAATTTTAGAGTTCCTGCATACAATTTTTTACAAAAAGATGTATGAGCAAACACTCCTCCGTCTGAGATGCGGCCTTGACAGCCTACATCAGCGAATAAAAAATTGTAATCATAATCCACAAGTGCAAGTAACACAATACTAAAAGTCGACTTATAATTGAAGTAGTCACTTCCACTGTTGGCTGGAGCTTGCAAAATACAGTGTTTTCCGTCAATAGATCCTAAGCAATGCGAAAAATTCCATCGCTTTTCAAAACCTTCAGCAATTTGTAACCATTCCTCTTGATTCTTGGGCATCTAAAAAAAATATTACACTTAGTAAAATTCACAAGCATTTATTCTATTTTTAGATTCAAGAACGAGATGTTACAGTGAATATCAACGCTGACAATGAAAATGTAGAGGAAGCTATTACAACCCATCAGGAACCTAATGCAACATCTATGCCATCCACCAGTGGAGTAAAACAAAATAGAAAGAGAGTCAAAGATAGAAGAATTGACGAAGCCTATGACATAATGAAGCAAACGGTAGCCAAGAAGGCAAATAAAAATAAAAATTATATATTTGGCGAATATGTGGCGACAAAACTGGACACTTATTCAGATCGTTGCAGAAACATTGTTCAACATTTGATAAACAATATTCTGTTTGACGCGGATATGGGACAGTTCGATATAGCCCCCAGTGTATCATCTCAAACACTGAATTCGCAGACGCCATACATGTCACATTCATATTCTCATCAGTCAAGCAATACCCAGTCACACCAGCCATTTATTCAAAATTATCTGTCGTCCGTTTCAACGCCACTAACAGGATCATCTGCATCTTTCACTACTACACCACTTGTTTCACCTACTTCAGATAACGTATCATATATATCATCAAATCATACATCACCGGTTCATTATTTTCATTCATGCTCTCAGCCAGCAACAGCAGAAACAGAAAAAGAGCAAACAGATGAGAGCGAACTTGCTACTTTTGTTTTAAATTTTAAACCCTAAGTAAAATGACAATAAAGAATCTTTTGAGTAATTACCAGTGTTTTTTTACACATCAGGTTTTTAATTATTACCGGTACACAATATTGTAAACAATCAATCATGGCTTTGCACACTTCTGGAATAATGTGACAAATTGATGATGTAGAAATCTTGAACAAATACTTTAAACTCGAATAGCAATCTCCTGTTGCCAAAAACGGAGCGTTAGTAATAACTTCTCTTTTGGTAATATTGCCTTTTTGAATGTAGTGTCCGTTTTTGAAATGATTGGACCAATCAAATTTAGCAAATATTCCAAATCAGTTGAAGACATTCTGCAAAAGTTATTCAATTGTCCCAGATTATCGCTTGTAAGGTCTGTAAACATTGTTATTCCTCCTGCAGTGTCTCTTTTTTCAGTAAATTTGAAGACCATTCCCTCTTTTTTCTTTTTTTCTTCGTCAAACCTGCCATAACAATAAAACTAGCACTAATAATTATATATCGTCAACAGAGTCCGACGTGGAGTTCGAAAACAGAACAATGGAACATCCGCGAATGCAAATATTCGTACATATAAAAATGCCTCAAACAGGTAGCGAGCTAACGAACTAACGAACAAGACCAAATTCGTTCCTTCGTTCGTTCGCTCGTGTTCGCTCTAATTTAAATGCACCTTAAGGCGATTATGAATATCCTTTAACTTATGTCACTGCTTTGAAGGATATGCTTATACTCAAAAAGCAAAAGCATTTACTTCAAATTATTATAAATACCGTCTGGAGGATTTCCTTAAAAATTTGCAAGTACAAGGATATCTTTTGTTTTATGAATACGGCTCAATGTCTCTTTTCAAGATATCGTAATATCTCTGCGTAATGGAAAATGTGTCTTCATTTGTTAAAACACCATTATGTGCTATAGATTTTTTTAGTGCTTATTAAATTCATTCAAAGATACTTTTGTTCAAAAGCACAGAAAAAAAGAAAAGCCACTACTTAGGGTTGTCTTGCTTGTTTTCATTTAACGAATTTCATTTTGAAATTACAATTTTCGGTAGCGCGTCCGTGTATTCCGAGTAGTAATTGCCGAATAATGAATTCTGTCTTCTAACTTCTCAGTCAAACGAGAAATTTTCTGCTCGCCGAATTGTTGTTATTAGAGCCATTGTTTCACGGGCTGTGCTGAAGATGATCAGTTTGAATTTCGGATAGTGTTTTATCATGGTGCGAATACAGTCGCAAAAGTACAATTCAAAATGGGAGCCTTTGCGGTAGTTAGCGTGTCGAGCTAGTAACCCGGGGCTCGCGGGTTGTAATCTCCGCTTCGGAAGTCATTTCCGAGCCATGTATGTTGCATTGTGTGTTGCCTATATCACGAGCGTGGGTGCAATATTAACGATAGGTACATCTCGCCGCTGGAGCTAGTTTATGATACTAGTTACCAGTAGATGGAGCAGTACAGTGGTGGTTCTACGGGGTACTCAACAAGAATCAAAAGTGCCCTGGTTGCTAGGCTTCGCCTCGCCACTACTACTACCATAATTCGAAATAACTAGACGTGGCCTCAAAATTTGAGTATGGACCATATTGACCATAGTAACAGTCGCCGTTTGGAAAAAAATGATGTGTAAAAACTTAAAGTCAAAAACGCGTCTTTTCTTCGACGATTAGGATAATCCTATAAAGATGGTTGTTTCATATTACTTTCTTTTGAAAAAAGTGCCTCTAAGTAGATCAGCCATTATTTTTCAATAATAAGGGTCGTATCGTCAGTCGTTCCTACAATTGAACGATGCGTTTATGGCCTCCTTGATTTTCATAGTCTTTTTTTCATCTGTTCTGTGTCAGCGTTAGCGCTCTCCTATTGTGAGGTTATGTTTTCTTTTTGAATCTTAAGAAATTTTAGGCTTATAATGAGGATAAAAATCAAGTCTTATCGGCCTGATATATACGTATGTTAGAACTCAAAAAGTAAATATACTAAGTGACACATAACATATGGTTTTATTTTAATAAAAGTTGGTGAATGTATTTATCTTACTGTAAATAACCAGTGAAAAATGTTCAGCCTTATCAGTTGGACATTCCGGTTTTTATATTGCTTTTTTTTAATTCACTAACGCTCTAAAAATGAATATTTCGGTTACGATGCCTAGAGTACGGAGACCTGTACGATTTCGTCAACTTAGTGAGTTTGATAGGGGCCGTATAGTGGGACTTCGGGAAGCTGGACTTTCTTTTCGGGCAATTGCAGTTAGAGTGCAAAGATTGTAGACACTATGGTTAGGTGTTGTCAGGCATGGCTTCGAGAAGGCCGTACGCAAAGAGCAAGGGGTACTGGACGCCGCCGTAGAATAACAGACCGTGAAGATCGCCGCCTAAGATTATTGGCCTTAAGAGACCGTTTCTCCACTACCAGGTCCATTGCAAATGAATGGTTTGCAGAACACGGAAGACCTATTGGCATGCGAAGTGTTTACCGACGAATGAGAAGTTTTGGCTTGTTTTCATACCGGCCACACTGGGTCCTCCCTTTAACTCGAGAACACCGACATAATCGCCTTGAGTGGTGCAGACAACGGTCACTCTGGGATCAGGAATGGAACAGTATTGTCTTTAGTGACGAGTCTCGATTTTGTTTAGGCATGCACGATGGTCGTGCCAGGGTTAGAAGGCGACGTGGTGAAAGGAGGAATCCACAGTTTTTTGTTGAAAGACATGTTCATCACACTGTTTGAGTTATGGTTTGGGGTGCTATAGCTTATGGTTCCAGGTCACCTTTAATCTTCATCAGAGGTAACATGAACGCGCAGCGTTATATCCACGAAGTTCTAGAACCCCATCTTTTACCCTATCTTGACACCCTGGCAGATCCAACTTTCCAACAAGATAATGCCCGACCACATGTTCCAAGATTCACAATAGACTTCTTTCAACATAATGATGTCACGTTGTTACCATGGCCACCAAGATCTCCCGACTTATCCCCAATTGAGCACGTGTGGGATATGATGGGTAGGAGATTGCTCAATTTGCAACGTCCTCCTCAGACTCTAGAAGCACTTCGAGAGGAGTTGGTGGTTGCCTGGAATGAGATACCACAGGAGGACATTGACCACCTGATCAGAAGCATGCCTAGGCGCGTTGGAGAATGCGTAGCACATCAGGGTGCATCCACACATTATTAAAGGTCAAAGGGCTTTAAAGCAGTGCAATCATTTTGAAATTTTTATCATTTACTTATTATGCTTCACTAAGTACTTATACAAAATTTTATTAAAATAAAACCATTTAAACTGGGTGTTCGGATTTATATGTCACTTAGTATATGACCTCAAAATAGAGCTCGTACCCGAAACAGTAGGAATCTAGAAATACCCCTGCCTTTCTGAAGGACAGGAAAAACTATGAAAATCTGTCGGTATAAGACATGCTTAAATCTCTCTCATCCAAATTATCTGAATTTTAGACCTTTTAGTTGCATCTTTTACAACAGTTATATCACATTTACTTCCTCGCGAGCGTGAATAAAAAATGCGTCGCGTAGGCGAAGAAGAGATAAGTTATAATTGAATTAACCGCAACAAGTACAACTTTCATTACTAGCTATAAATCGTTCAATTCCATTCATAGATTGGACAGAAATAGAAATAGCAATGACACGAGTTCGGATATAGCCCAAGAAAAAATGTCTCAGTCTCAAAATGGAAGATGATTGCTGACATTTTATACAGCTGTCGTGAAAGTTGGAACTTTCGTTTTCAGAAACAAGTAAGTTCGAAATTTAATTTGCTGTAAAAATGAAAACGTCAAAAAGAAACTGAAGAAAAATACTCATTTTACATTTGGTAAGGAATTTCAAGAACTGGCCTGACACATGTTTTGTTTGTAAATAGTGCCTTTTTTATACAGGGTGACTTCGAAGTTGAGTAATTTATTTTAACAGTGAGTAGATCTGATCATCTGGCAACAACGGATATAATCCGCCTTATCGGTTCATCGCATCGGAAACAAAAAGCGAAAGAATTTGAAACGCTTATCACGATGTTTTTACTACAATTTTATTCAGTTGTATTCGGTCAATGTGTTAGTCGGTAACGCGTGAGTGAATAGTGGAGTCTTTACAAAATGCTGCCGCGGCATCACGGATTTATGCGGATCGGTTTCCCAATCGAGTGCAACCAACCCCTCGTGCCTTTGTTAATGTAGTACAAAGGTGACTTAAGACCTCACAGGGGAGGGCATGCCGGTACTCCAAGACCGCACGATCAAATACAGGTCCGCACTGAAATACTTTTCGGGAGGATACTTTATAAAACAAGGTAACATTTTTTTTATTTTTGCACACATATGTTATTTTGGTTTATCTTCCTTCTACAATCATTATATGAAAATTAATGACTCAACTTCAAAGTAACCCTGTATACACCGACTAGTACGAAGGCCTAATGCCTAAACACCCATGGGCTACCGTGGGGCTATAGGGGATACAGTGGAAAAGGGGTCACTATTCGTTTCAAAAACATGAGTTTGTTTACT